TACAATTATTTTACGACAAAGAAACAAAGAATATACATTGGAGGAAATAAGTATCTTCGACAAATGGTGTTAGGACAACTGGACTGCCACATGCAGAAAAAAAAAAAACAGACCCTATTTCAGACCATACACAAAAATTAACTCAAAATGGATTAAAGGTCTGGATGTAAGACCTTTAATAACACATGGATTAAAGGTCTGGATGTAAGACCTTTAATAACACATGGATTAAAGGTCTGGATGTAAGACCTTCTGTAACACACAGAAGAAGATAGGCGAAATATTCCAAGATATTGGCTTCAGAGATGACTGGTAAATTGACTCCATTGGCAAGGGAAACAAAAGAAAATATAAACAATTGGGATTACAGTAAAATACTGCACACAGCAAAAGTACCTATAATTAAAATAAAAAGACACCCCACCAATTGTGGGGAAATATTTGCACATCATACAACCAACAATGGATTAATTTCCAAAATCTACAATGAACTAATGGAACGCAACAAGAAAATAACCCAATTAAAAAATGGGCAGAGTTAATAGACACTTGTCCAAAGATATACAGATGGTCAACAGACATATGAAAAATGTTCATTACTTATCAAGGAAATTGCAAATCAAAACCACAGTAAGATACCACCTCACCTGTGACAATGGCCCATATCAACAGGACCAGAAATAACCAGGCAAGGTTGTAGGAAAAGGGGGAACTTCATGCACTGTTGGTGGGAATGTAGACTCACCCAATATCTGGACTTTTCTCAAAAATTAAAATCAGATGTACTACTACCTGACCCAGAATCCCACACCTAGTTATTGACCCAAAGAATGTAAAAATACTAATTCAAAGGGATATATGCAGTTCATTGCAGCACTATTTACCATAGTCAAGTTATGGAAACAATCTAAGAGCCCAAGAAAAGATGAGTGGATTAAGAGTACATGGCAGATACACAGGAGAATAATATTAAAGTATTAAAAAAAAATGCCATTTGCAATGAAATTGGAGGGGATTATATTAAGTGAAATAAGTCAGAAGAAGAAAGACAAATATTGGGTCCCTTTACTCATATGTGGGATATAAAGAAACAAAACAAAGGAATTGTTGATAGAAATCTGACAGTAGAATTGAGGCTACCTGATCTGAAGAGTTGTGCCCTTATCTATAAATCATATATAATTTTGTAAATCAGTTACCTCAAATAAAAACTAATACATTAAAAAATTTCTACCATTAGTCAAAATTATTTTTTCTTTGTAAGTAATCTACTTTTCTTTTTCTGATTGTTTGAAAATCTTCACTTTACATATATTCTGTATTTGCAATCCCTCATGTCTTAATATGGATATATAGTGATTGTGACTTAAACTTCTGGAATCTGCAAAATCTCTGCATTCCCTCAATTCTCAAAAATTCTCTACCATTGTATATTCACTTATTCTGTTTTCTATTCTCTTTTACTTTCCTTCTAGAAAACTATTAGAAATATATTGTACATGTCATTCAACCCCTTATGATCTGAATTCCATTACATTTTTAATATCCAGGTGATCTCAGTGCTATTGTCCAGCTTATTTTCTCTTTAAAAATCAGAAATCTGTTATAAAAAATCTCCATTAACTGGATATTTGAACAGACAGTGGTATTATAAAACCTACAAATCAATGTAGAAACTAATGATAATCTTCTAATCTAGGAACACAGCATAGCTTTTATCTATTTAGAGCTTTTTTAATTTCAGCATTATTTTTTTTAGTTTTCATCATGTAGGTCTTCACATCTTTTCTAAGAACTATTCCTAATTATTTTAGTTTTTAATTATACTATTTACATTTTTCAGTATTTTAAAATTTCAGTTTCTGACTGTTCACTGTATGGTGATCTTATATATGGCAATCTGATAAACTCACTTTTTAGTTCTACTGGCTTTTTTGTACATTTTATCAAAATTTCTATGTAGAAAATCATGGAATCTTCAAGTAAATACAGTTTTACTTCTTTATAATTTGGATGCCTTTAATTTCTTTTTTCTTGCCTTACTGCTCCAGTTTGAACTTCAGTAGATGAAAGCAGTCTAGTCCTGAACTTAGAAGGGGAGATTTAATGTTTCACTGTTAAGAATGGTATTTGTAAGTACCTTTCATCATGATGAGGTAGTTCCTTTATATTTATAGTTGGCAGTTTCTCTCTCAGGAATGGATACTGGATTTTATTAAATGTTTTTTCTACATCTGCTGAGATGATCATATGGTTTTGCTCTTTAGTTTGTAAATGTGCTATATCTATAACGTATATTGGTTTAAAGTTTTATTTTCTCTAATGTCTTCATCTGAATTTATATTATAATAGTTTTGGCCTCAGAAATAAACTGGAAAGTATTTCTTCCTTCAATTTTCTTCATATATATATATTCTTTCTTTATATAGAGTTGCTATTATTTCTTGCTTAAAGTTTTAAAATTCCCCAATGATGCAATGTGGAGCTTCTTTGTAGGGTATTTTTAATTATACACTCAACCATTCTATAAATTATAGGGTAATTCAGGTTGCCCATTTTTTCTTAAATGAATATTGGTAGTTTGTGTCTTTTAAGGTGTCCATTTACTTTATTTTATTTTTTAAGATTTATTTATGCATATAAGAACTGGGTGTAAGCCAGAGGTGCGAGGGTGAGAGGATTCACCAGAGAGAGTGGGGAGCAGAAGAGGCAGATCTACTGAAATACACTGCTAAGGGGAGCAGTGGGTGAGCGAGGAGAGGTCTGCTGCGCCATGTGGGTTGCCTCCTGGCAGGCCGGGGATGGAACTTGTGCTGCAGTGGCTTGATAGTGCTGTCTTTAACCCCTGCGCCACCAGGGAGACCCAAGGTGTCCATTTAATTTTTCAACAACTTTGTTCATAATTTTCCCTTATTACTCTTTCAGTGTACGCAGAATCTGAAGTAACCCATTTGTGTGGCCTGATACTGCTTTTCTAAATATTTTGTTACTATGCTCAGAGGATACCTACCTATTTTAAAAATTAATTGTATCCATGAATTACTTTACAGTTCTCAGCAGATATTGGTTATAACAATTTATTTAAAAATAGTTTTGTTTTGTTTTTTTTCTGCTTTCAATAGTAATTCTCAAGTCATTTAAGCTGGGCCTTATTTCCTTACCTCTACAAATGATAGGTAGAATAAATGGATTACGACCTACCCAGCATAAAAATATGAGTGGTCATGTGTTTTTTATTTCTTACATGTTTTTATTCCTTTCAGTAGCAAGGGAATTTCCCTGAAAATATTCAAAGAAAGCAAATCTACAAAAAACAAGATGTGCTTATTATGTCATTTAATTTTGCTGATAACAGATCATTCATTCTCTAGTAAGACTGTTTTATGAGCAGGTATAAATGAAAAACTAATTTTTTAAAGATTTATTTTTTTTATTTATGCATACAAGAGCTGGGGTATAGGCTGGAGTTGCAGGGGGTGAGAGGATTCACCAGAAATAGAGTGGGGAGCAGAACAGGCAGATCTACTGAAATACATTGCTGATGGGAGCAGTGGGCGAGACAAGAGAGGGCTGCTGTGCCATGTGTGTTAGCTCCCTGACCAGGCATCAAACTCATGCCACAGTGGCTGGTGACAGCTTAATAGCATTGACTTAACCCCAGCGCCACAAGGGAGGCCCCTAAAAATTCTAATTTTTAAACACCTTTTTACAGAGTGAAGAGTTTATATTGTCCCAGCTATCTATAGTAACTTCCTATTGTCACTCATGCAAAAATTTCTAATGGATTTTATAATGAAATATAGATAAAGGGTTCTATATGCTCTGCTCCTTGCAACCTTATCTATAAACAGTAAGAAATGCACAAGGTCCTCTCAATTTTCCAGAAACATTGGCTGATAAAGTCTCTGAATTTATTTAGACAATGAGCTTTGTTGGTTTTTTTAGTACTTCTTTATCAAAATGTTACTCTATAATTTAATTTCATTAATTATTATTTTAATTACAAAACAGAAAGCCAAAAATTATTACATAAAATAATTTATAAGGGATTCATAGCCTTGTCTATGTCAGATTGGGTCTTTTTCTCTGATTAGTCATGAGGAGGCAATTTTAAAAACTAATCAACCACTCTTAATACTTTAAATCCCAGAGGTTCAACAGATATGTTTTCTGCAGAAAGCAGAAAGAGAGCAGTTTCATCACTAAAATAAACAACTCTTTAGAGCAACTAACATACCCTCAAATCCTCACCTAGTTCTGTCACGTTTATTATACCTAATTAAAAAAACAAATTTTAAGGATTATGATTTACTGTACTTTTTAGAGAAGCTTGGTTTCTTCACTTACTATTCTAAATAAGAGTCAGCCATGTAGTGTGAGTGGCAAAATACCATTTTCATGGTTTTGGACAATAAAAGGTTGACTTCCTAACTTTTTTGGTTCAAAATGCCACACAACAATCTGGACCAGAAGACCATCTCTATAGGGAGAGATGGTCTCCCTGCAGACCACCAAAATAGAGTCTGTGTTATTCCAAATTAAAGTTACAGGGATGTACACACAATTTTCTGTCTAGAATGTTTCCCTTCCCTCTCACTTGATTGACTTCTGACTTATCAGTTTTTAGCTCATGGGTGACTTTTGCAAGGAAACCTTTCTTTTCTTCCCCATGACTAGGTCAAATTCTAATATGAGTTATCAGAGTTCCTGCACTCTCCCCTGGTAAACCTTATCACAATTGCATTATTTATATTTGTTTGCATAAACACTTTATTATTAGCTATTTTCCACAATGTACTGTAAGTTCCAAACAGGCAGAGAATGTTTTTGGTTTTGGTTACTATGTATGTTCAGTGCCTGGCACACTATCAGGCATATAAAATGCTCAAATGAAGGAAAAAATATCTGAGCTTTACTAAGAGAGATAACAGAAAGTGTTCCTTTCTGTACTCTGCCTCTTGATCTGTTTTCCAGTGACCCAATATTCAAAAAAGACTTACCTTTTCTAAATAGTTCTTGGAGACTTTCAGCACTTTGATTTAATACAGCCCATATTTCTTCCTCCTGCAGTGGTCCACCCCGAACCTCCAGGGCCTCAGCTAGTGACACGTGCATATTACCTAAGAAACAAAGGGAACAGATGACAGATGGTCTATCCATCAGCAACTTTAGTGCACTTGTAGTAGCAGTTCTTTATCACTGATGTCTCAATATAGTTTCAACCTAAAAATAAGCCTATAGCTTTAAACTTACAGAGAATAAAGGAATTATAGTGGGGGGTGGGGTGAAGAGGGGGACAAACATCCCAAACTACCACTTAGTCTAGGCCAACAGAGTCAATCTTAGAAACGGATTCAGAGAATAATGGTGATGACTATTTCATGGGAGAAAACAATGACCTCAGGATACCATAGGCAGTAATGATTAAAGTGCAGATGATTAAACTGAAGGAATCAGAATGAGCTGAAGGCATTTGCCTACCATCTCCACCATCATCCTCAGTTATCACACCATAATGATCCTCTCTCTGTTCTCTTTATTTTCCTGTATTATAGCTCTTCACATCATTAGCTTGAAGGGAAAAGAAGAAAATGAAAGAAATATAAAATGGAAAAAGAATGTAAAGGGGGAGAGGGCATTAGAGGGGGAAAAGCTTCAAGTCAACCAATAGATGAGGGAAATAATTTGGGGTACAGATATGACTAGCTCTATTTTACTATCAAAAAAGCCCTGCTTTACAATAAACATAACCATATTATTCATTTTTATTACTTTGAAAGCTATGTGCTACATGGTAAGTAGAGTGTTTTAGGAAAGACTGTGAAAAATAATCATACTATATAAACAGAATAATTATCATGTTTTTGGTTAACATGGGTATTATTGTCATGACCTTAAAACTGTGACCACAGAGTCAGACAAAATCACAAAAGGATTCTAACAGATGTCATTTTAATCCTGAAGAATCTAAGGGACTCACAGATAGGAAACACAAAAAAATTATTCTGAACAGAATAAAATAACAAATAGACTAAATGAACCCAATCAAGTCATATAATACCTACCTGGGAATAGATTAATGAATTAGGAATGTTTACCTTGATTCTAAGGAAATTAGTCTCTGTGAATACTTGAATCAAGAACAGAACAACTATAAAATAGAGTTCCTTATGTGCTACTACTTTTGAGCAAAGATAGACTCACCATTCAGGTAAAGGATTTCTTTGGTCATTAGGCTACCAGAAGAAGAGATAAGAAGGAAGGAGCCAGGGTGTAGGACTATGGGTGCTTAGAGCAGGGGTGTGTGTGTGTGTGTGTGTGTGTGTGTGTGTGTGTGTGTGTGTACTGTGTTAACATAAATCTGAAGAGGTGTGAATGTATACTTCTAACTAAATCATATCCAGTTTTGTAAACCATTGCTACCTCAATAAAAAAAATAATTAAAAAAAATCATACATCAGTACATTTAGTATTCTAGATGTTTATGTTTATGAGAAATAAGTCAATTAGAACAGATCAACCTAATGATTGTTTAAATAATATTGAGAAAATGGGTTGAGATATTTAAAAATGTATAAAGTGTCACTGGAGCATATGAGAGAAACAGAGATTGCAAACTTGTAAGTTTTCATTCATTAGAAGATTTATTTAAGAGCCTCCCAGGTGGCACAGAGGGTTGAGCATAGCGCTGTGAAGCTGTCCGCAGACTCTGCAGCGTGGGTTCGATTCCTGGCAGGCCAGGGAGATTCCCACATGGTGGGGCAGACCTCTCCTGCCATCCGCTGCTCCCCTCAGCAGTGTACTTCCGTTCTCTCACCCTCCCTCGCTTCTGACTATACCCAGTGCTTGTATAAATAAATAAATAAATCTAAAAAAATTAAAAAAATTTAAAAAAAGAATGTTTAACAATGAAGATGGAATTAACTTGCAAAGGGCCCATTAGTAGAGAACTTTCTATATTTACAAATGGAATGAAATAAGAAATTGACCATAAAAGCTTAAGATTTAGGTTGAGATTTTTTTAATTAAATAAGAATATTTATTCAAAAATCATTTACAGTAAGTTTTTCTGTATACATTAGAGGCCGCTTTTTTTAATGTTAAGGAAAAACCATTGTGATCCCAGATTATACAAAGTTTTCTTAGCTATTAAACCAAATGTGTTATTCACTAAAGAAAAAAAAGATACATTGTACATTTTCAAAATTAAAACCTCTGCTCATTGAAAAGAGCTGTTAAAAGAATGAAAAGCCACAAATTAAATAAAAATATTTGTGGGTTATATAACTGATAAGGAACTTGTATAAAGAATATATAAAGAACTCCCAAAACTCTATAATAGGAAAAAAAACATTAAAAAATTGGGGAAAGATTTGAATAGATACTTCATCAAAGGAGACATATGGATTTAAAAAAAGCACATGAAAATATGCTCAACATCATTAGTCATTAAAGAAGTGAAGATTACAACAAATCAGAATGACTGAAATGAAAGTCAGACCATATAAAGTATTGACAAGGCTGTGAAGAAAATAGAACTCACATATATTGTTAGTGGAAAGTAAAATGGTACTCTTTGTCAAACTGTCAAAGGAGTTTCTTAAAAAGTTAAATATAGGGGCCTCCCTGGTGGCGCAAGGGGTTAAGTCCCAGTGCTATCAAGCTATTGCCAGCCACTGAAGCATGAGTTTGATCCAGCAGGTATCTTTTATCTCACCCGCTGCTCCCCTCAGCAGTGTATTTCTCTGTATTCAAATGTTGTGCACCCCACTCTGTCTCTGGTGGGTCCTCTCAACCCCCACACCTCTGGCCTGTACCCCAGTTCTTGTATGCATAAATAAATAAAAATAAATCTTTGAAAAAAATATAATCTATCCATTCCACTTCAAGATATTTATCCAACAAAAAAGTAAAGCATATATCCATAAAAGGTTTATATACCAATGTTCATAGCAGCTTTATTTCTAACAGGCAAAAACTAGAAACAAACGAATATCTATCAACAGGTGAATGAATAATCAAATTTGAATATATTTGAATTATTAATCACCAATAGAATGAAATGAACTATTATTGATACATGCAAAATTATGCATCTCAAAAAAATTATCCTGAGTGCAGGAAGCTAGATAGAAGTATATGATTTATGATTACACTGGCATAAAATCACAGGAAATGCAAAATAAAGTTATAGAAAGCAGATCAGTTGCTTGAGGAAAGCCCTACCTAGGAAGAGAAGAGGCATGTGGGAATAATTAATTACAAAGGGATATGAGAAAATGTTTAGGAATAATTGAAATATTCATTGTCGTGATTTTGATGTTTCCACAGGTACAAATAACTCAAAACTTATCAAATTGTACATTTAAAAAATATGGTAAATTATATATCAATCATACCTCAATTAGACTGTTTAAATGAGAAACAAAAAACTAAATAAATCTAAATCTGACCAAAGCAGGGTTAGCATTCCTTTTGTCTAATAAGCTTTTTTTTTTTTTGGTCAGAAAAAAATAAGCTCAACTTCAGGTAACACATGCCTTAAAAAAAAGATTTATTTCTCAAAGTTAACTTCTCCTATTTAAAAAAAAATCTATGAAAGTGAAGAAACCAAAATCTATGGTTAAGGTCTAAGATCTTCCCTCCACAAACAGCCAAAGTATCTCTAAGATATTGCATAACATATTGAAGTTAAGATTTGTAGATTGATAACATAATTTTAAAAATCATTATTCAAGATGCCAATCTCTTGTTTTTCTCTCAACTTCTAATTTCTTAGAACATTCACAGCTGAAGTAACTATAATAATTACAGGATACTTCAAATAATATGAAATCACTTCCACCTTTTAACTACTGAACCAGAATGATCAACAACCAAGCCAAAGGTATACAAAGAAGCTATTAGGATTCTAGGAGACAAAAAGTTAATCTCCTCAATGGAGTAAATACATTAATATTTATTTCCATTAGTAGGAGGTTTAGATCAGGTAATAGAGAAAACATTGCTTGATACTGTTAGGAAAGAGTACGAAAAAAACTGAGATTCAAAGGAGAAAAAAAACAACTCAATGATGTTTCAAGTGGCTATTGCTTGCAGGTAGAAAAAAGCACGTCTCAACATTTTTATTGTATCGAAAGTGGAGTAACACTTAACATTTGTCAATTTTTCCATTATATTTTCCCATAAAAGAGAACTCCAACAAAAACATTTAAATTGCCTTTCTGGACCTCCTGTTCTTGCCACCTACTTTTTAAAATAGAAATTATATATATGTGCATTCCTTGCTTTCAAAGGATAGCTTCAAAAATACAGCAACAAAATTCTGGAGTTCTTCAATCCTTCTTTGTATCACTTACTCTTAGGTGAAAAGTAAAATAGAGGTAAAACCCCCTAACTTTACACTGGTTGCATTTCTCCTCATCAGTTGGGAAGTAGCAACAGAAAACTGTGTAATTTTGTTTTTACGTATTGTCTTTCTACATGACCCCTCCTTTCTATCCACTGACTTAAGATCATTGCATTAGAACATCGCTGGTCTTCCTTAAGAAATGTAAGCTTAAAATGTTTAAGTGGGCTCTAGTCACTAAACAAAGCAAACATGTATAAAGAACAAAAGACCAAGTAAATCATTCATTTATCCTTTATTTTGTCATAAATTAATGTGATAGGCAAAAATCTGGGATAGCATCACAATTCCTTTCATGTAGTGGATTACCTATGTAGGGGAGGCATGTGGCAAAGATCAGAAGGTGGCATCTAGGAACTCACAGTGTATCCCAGCCAACAACAATAAAAAAAAGGGTCTTAGAACCAAACGAACCTGAATTCTACCAGCAACCAGTAAATCTGACATAGGACTCTGAAACCTCAGATAATATCAGAGTTCCAACTGAACTCTCCATTGTGAGATTCTGAAAGGTGAATCAGTTAATTTGTACATACTTCTAAGCAAAAAGAAGTATGAGATAATCAGTTGGTGCTGCTTTAAGTCACTGAATGGTAATTTTTAATACAACAATAGAAAACTAATGTAAATGTTGGTGTCTTAAAGTGGGATGTTTCTGTAACTGAAAATTCGGGGGTGGTTTTAGGACTGGATAATGAGCAGAATCTAGAA